GATGGCAGAGAGTGTGATGAGCCTTAAGACCAAGGCCGACGGCACCAAGCCGTGAACAACTCCGAACAACTCCGAACTGATCACACCGTGACCTTTCACATGTTGCCGTTGCCTGGCAAATCCTTTGACCATCCGAAACGCCAGTTGCAGCAACATGGCGCTTCGACCACCGATCCACCCTTCAAAAAGCAGAAAGCAAAGGGAAAGGCAAATCCAAGCCCCCCAATCCGTCGGGCATGCCCTCTGGGTTCACTGATCCAGCGGACTTCCATGCCCAGGATTCGGCCACTTGCGCTGTTCGAGCTTTCCCATTTTCCCACAGTAGACCTTCCTGACCAGAAAACATAATGCAACATACAGCAACCACAGCATTTCAGTCACAAGGATACATTATTGTGACGACAATTGATGATGTCACAAGCATGCCAGCTTGCCATCCTCGATTCAGGATGCACCAGAACGACGGGGCAACAGCAATCGAAGAACTGACCAAGAATATGTGTGGACCCGTTTGTTTTTGCAGGGCGTAGCGAACAATTGCTTGTGGCGCTGTAAAACCATGGAAACCCAGCGGTATGCAAAACCTCTCTTTTTTCCCGGCGGCGGCGGAAAAACGACCCCCCGGAAAACAGATGCCAAGTCGCCCGGACACAAGCAATAAAAAATAAATGGAACAACATATTTTACAATGCATATTACGGATTAGGATGCGATTGAATCAACGTATGCGGATTATTGAACTAAAATATTTTGCACAGACGAACTATGTATTTAGTCTTCGACCTTGTCATTCGAATCTCATGGACCAGTTGAGATTGTCTCAATATACTTTGAGTTTCTTCGTGGCTTACAAGGGCATTTCGTTGTGTCGGTCAGACAAATTGATGCCTGTGCCATACACAAGTGTCTTTGTACCAATGCAACAACCATCAACACGTGGGACTGGGAGGAGTTTCGTTCAATGAAGACGTGTCTCCAATTGCCCCATGATGGGCCAGCAGTTGCTGCTGTAACGTTCGGACTTGCCTTCCGAAGTTCCACCCAGCCAGGAGAAAGGAAGACTGTCTCCGTTGACCCACCTGTCTCTTGTGCCCCAATCAAGGTGTTCAAGGAGAAACATGTCCGCATTAACCAGAGCCGCAATACCAATTTTCAAGCAGATTTCAGGCAGACAAATTTGGAAGGGCTTTCTTGATAAATCGCTGTGTGGACTCACCAGCCCGCAATAATTTGTCTGCAGGCACCACGGACAATCAAAATTCTTCGTTCAATCGAGGGAAACCATGCGCCCATATCATTCACAATTGAGATCCGTTCCCATTGCACGGCAACTTAATTCTGAATTGGAATCTCTTTTTGCAATCGAAATTTTCTTCTCTCTGGGTGAATTTACCATGAAGCACAAACATAATAGACATTTTCTCTTGGTGCCAAGGCCAAGGAACCGGAATAAAGCAATGAAGTTCTTGAAGGCAATCATTGCCTGCACCAAGAAATTGGGTTTCAATAAATTTGAAGATTTTCAAATTCAAACGACTTGAAACTGGAATAAATTGTGTTTGAATGATTTTTGACTTAAAATAAAGGACATTTAGAAATGTCCCAGAGTACAACGCGCCAAATCTTTGATTTTACGCGCCAAGGCAGGTGTCTGATTTTACGACTTGAGCTAGCAACCTTTTCTTTGGCGGGATGCAGGCCTGTAAATCTGATAGGGGTGTCATCTGCTGAAACTGATCTCTTTCCGGCGAATTAGCACTAAAGATGTTTTAACTCTTTTCCAAAAGTTATTTTTTCAGAGCCGATATATTTTGATGTGCCTATGAAGTTCGGAAATGCTGAAAGCGGAGCATCATCTACGAAGTATCATCTACACGATTAAAAATTAGTTTAATCATTTTCATCCCCAATTCCGGACCTAAAAAGAAAAATACTTGGTGCAATTCCCATACAAATACTTATTTTTGCACATAATTAATTAAATCAGGATTTAATCGAATCCAATTCCCCAAGTTCGCTCCGGCTTAACTAAACCACAAGGGTTAGCCGTCCTATCCCAGACTTGATAGAATCCGTAATTTGTGGGCCAAATCAATAATTCAAATTCCATTAGCCACAATCTCCTCGTGTTCCATTGTTAAATAATATCATCTTCTTATCATATACGATGCAATAATAACGTAAGAAGTCCAAAAATTAAGGTTTTAAAATAATATTATCGGAAATAATATCTATAATTTAAACCAAAAAACGAAAATGTGCATCCTAACCTATTCAACATCAAATAATAATTTTTCAAGATTTACCAAATAAAAAAACAAATTCTCTATAATATTTTTTTTAAAAAAGCCTTTAATAACATTATATATAATCGAAAAATTATTAATTTTACCATATTTCATGCCATATATAAACATTCATAAACGAATAATACTCGAACGATTACGAACTCCACGCAATAAATCCTATATAAAAATCCAAATCCAAATGCGAAGAATAATAATAACCTCCCAGCATAAATATCTCGAATTCAAATTCATAAATCCATATTACGAAAATCGATATACATCCACGATAAAGGAAATAAACAATAATTATCGAAATATCATTATTGGCCAACATATTATATAATTCATTAATTCGATACGAACAATTATTTTTTTTCCCGTAAAATCAACGACAAACGCATCGATTAACCTACCTTCCAACCGCCACACGATACTCCGAAATTACGATATATTAATTAAATTCCCCAATATTTAATATCAATAATTAATTTAAAAATAATAACTTATCGATTAAAACATAGAATTAACAAAAACTAAAATCCATTAATAATCCTATTTTTCGAATATCCGTAATTAAATTTTCTTCCATAAGTTTAAACTATATAGCCATAATCACTTAAAATCAAATGTATAAAGCGACATAATCGGTCCAAAATACCAAATAATATATTTAAAAAAATACCGAAAATTATTTTTCTTTTATAATTTTGGATTAAATCCCAAAAAACCGATTAGTTTGCTAAGCCAATCGAATCATCAACCGAAATATATTACCTATCCAAAAAATTTTGTATTTATAATATTTCAAAAACGTATGACAATCAATTCGATAACGAATATTAACATTCCATTATAAATAAACAAATTCCATTCCTAAATCTTCCGTATTAATAATTACTTCTCCATAAAGTTCCGAATCATAGAAATCAAAACTAAAAAGATTATGGATTTTTTATCTATACAAAAATATCCCTAACCTTCCGACAATACTATGTCGCAATATAAATAACCTTTATAATACATTTTTAGGGAAAATACATATATTGTGGCTACGCGCAACACAAAACATTATTCCGGGCAATATTAATAATAACGCCAAGAGTAATAATCCCCAACGGATTCTAAAAGCCAAAAAACAAACACTATTTTATCAATATTCGGGTGTCACCGCGGTAGCGTTATTCTCCAGGGACTTCTCGGGACTCCAACGACTCCACCAAACTACGCAAGGCCATCAAATCATCATGCCATAAACGGGAAGCAAGCTCCAGCGCGCACCATCTCTCCAAACTCGGACTTTGACCTAATCACTTGAACCATCATATGCCGTGTGACCTGCGCCGCGGAGAAGCCTCCGGGTCATCAGGGGCGAAGAACCCCTTGGCTGCCTCATCCAAAAAACACATTTGCCTCCTCAATGCGGTCTCTTTGCTTGACCTGCCTCATCTAGGGTCTCTGAGGGCCTGGCATGGCCTGGCTGGCGACACTGCCGGGTGCATTCCCGAACTGGGTCTCGTCCCATATGAGCTTCACCTTAACACCGCCCGATGTTGGAACCCGAGGGGATCGCATGGACTAGGTCCCGGCCTCGAGATTCAAAGGCTTAACGAACTGGCCTCTTCGTGCCACGCGCCTTTTCCCCACTTTCTGATTTGATGATGATTGAGCTCATCGCCGTTTGGCTGAACTCCATAGCAGTGCCCAACTTCTTCAGCCCATCTTCCTTTGGATTCCCTCAAGAACACCCTTCTCATTGGGATTGGCAGACCGCAACTTCAGACGGCCACCCGTTACTGGGCTCCGGGACCCACTTGAGGCCATGGGTGACGAAGCTCTACCCGCCGCATGGTCTCGCCGTGAACTTCCGCGAGCTGCTCCTTGACGTCGCTCAGGTGACTGGGTTGAACTCGCCCTGGACGACGACCTGAGCTAGGGGCATCTTGTCTCTGGCGGTGTAAACCTGACTGGGCTGTCATCTACTGAAGCTGATTCATGAGGAGGCTCTGACGCTCTTGCAAAGCTGGTTTTCGCATGGCCCTTAGCCTGCCGTACCTTTTCGGCTGTCAGGCTGGCGACATAGCCGCTTTCCTCGTCCGGACCGCCAAGTGGCGAGCATGACGCTGTTGAGTCACGCGGTAAGGGGTTAGCAACCTCCACCTCCCAACATGGATAAGCTCTGTGTGGCTATCGGACTCCAGCTCAGGGGGGCCATGTTTAGCAACTGCCTGACCCACCGCCTGCCTCAGGCGGCGCCCTGAGCTCATGCTCAGAGGTGTGGACAACCATCCTTGATCGAGTCGACCTAAGCCTTGTAGCAGCGCTAGCTCAACTTGTTGAGGCGACAGCCCTCTACTCACTCCAAACTCCAGCAGCACTTCCATCCAAGTGGCCATGGCTGTCGCCTGTCCAACACACCAGACCAGGAGCACCCTCAAGGGTCCCTCTGACCTGCGGCGTTCCAGCCCTCACTGAGCCGAAACTCCGTGTTCCCTTGACTTCATGCATATATATATATATATATATATATGCATTTGTAATCATCATATGTAGTCATCCTTTCTGTCAGTATGGCGCTGAAAGCTTTCCAGAACACATAAGGCATCGCAAAAGGCCGGTCCACTGGTCCGCGGTCCTTTGCGTCAAAAGAATGGACTCCATGAATTAGAGGCCTTCCCCAATGGTCAGCAAACATTAGGATTGTACATTGGGTGGCTGCAAACCAATTGAGCCCTCTAGATTCCTGCAACTTCAAGGACTTTGAGGGAAGATCGGAATGGCAATTCCAGGCAAGTATTGCCCTGATATTTCCTGAAAACTTGCAGCTGGAGTGATGGCAAACTTGCCAGTTTGATCCCAGCTCACAACAGTAGCTCGCACTCAGAATCAGTGGGGATATCAGTGGAAGCCTCAATTCTGCATTTGGAATTCACGAGCAATTTTTTCGAGTCCTCACGTTGGAAGCAAAAGAACCCTAACCTGTCAAGCTCTGAGGCACTTGCCTGACTGAGCCCATCCCAAGTCTCCTCACCTCTGGCTTGCCGGAAGCTCCAAGAGGTGACGACAGTGTGGTCGAAAACTGGAATAGAGAGTGCATCAGCCTGAGCAACGAAGTTGAGGTGTTAGGATGAGTTTAGCCGTCTAAAGAATATAACATTTTCATCTAACCCTTCAGACAGGCACGGAAGCCAAACAATGTGCACTGTAATATAAGCAATTGCAGTTCGTTGAAGTCGGGCCTCTGAAACGAACAGCTACAAAAGGCAAATTGGTTTGAGGCTTGACCCGCAGCTTGATCCTCTACCCCTGCTCACAGTCGGCATGCTCTTGTCTAGGTTCCTTTCATCATCTTGGTTGAGGATAGGATGACTGATGTGGGCGTGCACTCTTTGCACACTAGCCTTCTTGCTATGTTCCAAAACCATATGTGAAATCACATTGCTCGGTGAAATTTGACACAGCTCAATCGGACTTCTGCAATCATTGTGCTGCCTGCAAATTCTGAGGCAACCACCCGATCGATAGTGCCATCTCTGCAATCTCCTTCATGATTCTCACCAAAGGATGCTTCTAGCATTCTCCTCGCGACACAGTGAAAACGCTTTGTGGAAAAGAAGTCAATCACCATCGATCAAGGACAAGAAACCACAATGGACTATGAATCAAAGTCAACTGGAAAAGGGTTTATGTGCAAAAAACTATATATATATATATACACATACATTGTGAGGTTCGTCCATCATCAAAAATAGTAAATTGTAATGCAACTGAGCAGCTGTCTCCATTCTTGCTTGATCTGATGCAGTTTTCCCTTCCGCGAGTTCAAGCTGGTGACCCACTCCCTTTCTGCTGCCTTCCTCTCTTCTGGGCAGCCTAGATCACAAACGCGTGAACGATCCACTTCTTGCGTGTGCAAACCACCAAGTGCTTCCAGAAGAAGCGTGCCGTGGGTTTGTCCTTGTTCCTCTTCTTCCCCAGTCTGTGCTTTTCTGAACATTCTGCCTTTGGTCTCCCTCTCATCTTCACTGGTCCTGAAAGCATAGTACGTGGCTTCTGGCAGCCTGTCTGCTCGAGGTAGTCGCCGCAGCACATCTGCTGTGATTTCAAGCACCTTGCCTTCTGCAGATGGTATTGCTGCAAGAGCTCTCTTGTTTCCATCTCTTGTGCGCAGCGCAAGCACCAAGACTATCTGGCCATTATAGCCTAGCTGCGAAGTGCCCCAAATGACGCAAGGGAAGGCCTGCCAGAATGAGTCAGTCATTGGTTGCCGAGGTACACCACGACACATGTTGCTCATCAATGCTTGTGATATGGCTTCCTGAGATCAAGTGTTCTAAGTATCCCTTCATAAATCTTACATATCCAAAGCTGTCTTTATAATGGAAGTTACGCCCTTCAGAAGAGACTCTCTTCACACAAGTGTTCCACTGTTTATGTAAGCCTCTGTCATTTTGAAGTGCCCCTCGCCTAGTCTTGTCCCGAATCCCTTTTCCTCAATTCAGCGAACATTCAGGGTCTCCTATAATTTTTTGAGGGGTGGCATGTTTAACTGTTTAATGAAACCCTTTAATATAAAAGATTTTCTTCTGTTGTAAATATATAAGCTATTCACCTTAAACACTTCATTTCTTCATGTTCCCTGTTTCAAACTCTTAAAAGCCTGTCCTGTCTGATTACATATGCAAACATTTCAAATGTCAAGACATTGAAACCAGGAGACTCCTTCAAAAGCAGCCTTCCATATTAAATACAGTTTAATGAGGCCTAGAAGACATTCCTATTCTTTTAAAGGAAATCATTTTCAGAAGCTTAGAGCCAATGATGCTAACATTTAGGAACATAAACAAGTGATGCAAAAGCATGCTCTCTCAGTGATTGCATTTGTAGATTCACATTGTACAATATAAATCTATAAATATAGCTTACAACAAACCGCAAATCGAGTCAGTTTGACTAACCCGATTAAAAACCAGAAGGAAATACATTGACTTTGTTAGATAATTTTTTGGGGTTCGGTTCTAAATAGAACACGCACACAGCTTTTGCGTTTTGAGATGGTCTGTACAACCTTGAAACAGAAAAACAATCTTGTGTTGGCGATAGGGTGCGCCGTGCAAACCAAAACGTTGAAAGGGCTTATCCTACCAACCTCGTAATATGTTTGCATCGATGCCAAAGTTGAAAGAACGTAGCCGAACTGTGCCTGTTCTTTCTGAGCGCCCTGGGCTGAAGGACAGGAGCTCTGGCCCGAGGAAGCGCAAGCAGCTCCAGCCACCACCTCCACCAAGTGATGGGTGACTTGGTCCACCCTAAAGGAGACATATGCGAGTGTATGAGAATTGGGACCCTCGCAGAAAAACCCTGCAAGAGGAAAAGGCGAAAACCCACCCATTGAGTGGGCTCCCTTTTCACCTCCACATCTACCGGTGAAGTCACAGAAAAGTAGGACAAATCATCTTTTGCTTATTGCAGCATTGCAGCTTGTCCTATGGCTTCTCATTGATTGGTCATGGTGAATGAAGCTGCTGATTCGTGGCGTGCTGTTGCTTGTGACTGTGGCTTGCAATTCCTGCTTGCCATTGTGGTTCCTCGTTGATGTGGTCAAAAGTGAGTGGCCTAGCTGCAATCATTCTGCAACACACTGTTGCCGGTACGGTTTCTCATGAATGCTGTGATTGATGCTCTTTCCAGTAGCATTGTTCTTTTTCCCGGTTCTTACTTCAAAAAGAAATGAGTTGCTCGTCCGCTCTTTCGAGACAGGTTGCTGGTGCTGGTGCTGGTTGGTGCCGGGTGCCGGTGCTGTGAGCTGGCTGTGCGCGTGGTGGAGACAGGTTGCTGGTGCTGGTGCCAGGTGCCGGTGCTGGGTTGCTGGTGCTGGGTGCCGGTCCTGGTGCTGGGAGCCGGCTGCATGTGCTGGGTGCCGGGTGCCGGTGCTGGTGCTTGGTGGTGTAGCTTGCATATGTGAGGGGGTCTATTTTCGAATCTTTGTCCCAGATAGCGAAGCTATGGGGTTCTTACTTCAATTAACAATGAGCTGCCTGCGCGCGCTTTCAACACATGTTGCCGGTGTTGGTGCTTTGAGCTGGCTATGCACGTGGTGGAGAAGGGTGACGGTGCCGGGTGCTGGCTGCGCGTGGTGGAGACAGGGTGCCGGTGCTGGTGCTGTGAGCTGGCTGTGCGCGAGGTGGAGACAGGGTGCCGGGTGCCGGTGCTGGGTGCTGGCTGTGCGCCTGGTGGAGAGGATTTTTATGTTCCCCAGATAGTGACAGCTATGGGGTCGTATTACTTTAAATAACAATGAGCTGGCTGTGGTGCTGGTGCTGGGTGCTGTGAGGTGGGTGTGCGCGTGGTGGAGACACGGTGCCAGGTGCTGGGTGCTGGCAGTGCGCGTGGTGGAGACTGGGCGACAAGTGATAACCGCCGCCGCTTCTGACAGTGAAGGGTAACAAACCGTTTGCAGCAGTGAAGGGCGACCAAGCGCCGCTTCTGACAATCAAGTGCCAGCAGTCATGGGCCGCATGAGCTTATGCACGCAACATCACACGGTGTTGTCGCTTGAGCGTTCTTTGTCTATTAGCGCTGTGGGGTATTTACACTCTTCAGGTTCTGTTTTGGCCGACAGCTGTGTCAAGGGCTGTGCTGTTTGCGCGCATACTTTTGTACGTGTAATAATGTTCTATGCGCAACGTCAGGCTCTCAACTGACCATTGTTTCAGCATGTTTCAGCATGCTACACACACAAAAGTCGTGCTGGATACTGCTTGGCCTTGGGCGAGTGAAGCCTACGGGATTTGCCGTTTGTGCGCATACTTTTGTGCGCATAAACTTACACGCGCAAGATCATACGGCCTTATCGTTCTGCAGATGGTTGCTTCAAGCATGCTGCAAAGTCAATAGTGGCGCTGGATACTGCTTGGCCTTCGGCCAATGACACTTACGGGCTTTGCTGTTTGCGCGCGTACTTTTGTGCGCATAAACTTGTTTTGGTGGAAATAAGAATGAGCTGGCCGCGCGCGCTTTCGGAAGGGTGTCTGGTGTTGTGGTGTGGTCCTGGGTGCAGGTGCTGTGAGCTGGCTGAGCGCGCGTTTAAGACGGGCGGCGTCGGGTGCTGGCGCCGCTGCCGGTGCTGGTGTCAGCTGATTGCGCGCGCTGTGGAGGTACAGTCCTGTTCTGGCTGCGTACATTCCTGTTCCAGCCAGTCGCATGTCAACAGGTCGTGGGATTCTGCCTAGCTATCTGGGTCCATACTGGTGTAATTATTGTGATCATGGTGTTTGTTGCTGCTGTCATTGTGACAGCGGTGCTTTGCTGCTGCAAAGTTGCCATCATGAAGCACGAAAGGTTCTTGCTGTGATCATTGCTCGCTTGTCTTCCAAACTCCGGGCTTGTTACGTCATTCATTGGCCTTCCACCACACATCCTGAGACTCTTGGGGTTCTGATGCAAGCTCAGTGCCAACCCTCGGCACAAAGCACAAGTGATTGCAGGTTCTGGAGGCATCGTGAACTTGAGGCCAGGGGAGGTGAAGGAAAGCTAGCCACTAATCTCATGAACCACCAGGGGACTCCTTTCCACAATGCCTTGTGGGAATTGGCTGACGAAGATGATGAGGATGATGAGTAAGAGGCACCTGGGCTTGGAAGGGGGAAGGATGGTATGGGGTAATGGGCTTTGCACTTTCTGCGGTGGTAGGTATGCAAAGAACCATGGGGGGTAGGTATGAGAAGAACCATTGTAATTACCATAGAGTTTGGCTCATCAGCGCATCAGCTTGATCAGAACATCAGCCCATAAGCAGCAATGATTGGTGCCCATGGGTGGTCATGGGCATGCGTGGCATTGGTGCCATGATGAGTGGCCTGGTGATGTACATGAAGAAGATGAAGGATGAGATCATCCAATCAGTGGATGGGCTTCATGAGAGCATGGGCACCATTGAGCCGAGGTTGGACTACAATAGGCCAAGATGAGGCTTTGAAGATGAGGCTCATTCAGTTGAGGGGATGGGTGGTGAACTCATGGGATGATGGACCCCATGCACAGTGGAGACGAGGATGGATCCCTTTGATGAGGTCATGGCTGCTCTATGAGCAACCAGAGCTGCATTGGCGGTCCCACGTTGAACCCCCGGAGGGGGGTGGCGGGGGGTCCATAACCTTGCGGCGGGGGGCAGCCTCATTGGCGGCAGGTGTCTTTTACTGTGAATGCAAGTGCCCTTGTACCTTGAGCCTTGGAGGATGCGGCAGCACATAACAACGTGACATGGAAGTAATACTGCGCATACCCGCTACATTTCAGAGGGGCGGTCCATACACTTTAATAATTCAAGGATTTCAGGTCTTTGAGGCTGCCGTCCACCCTCTCATTTCAATCCTTGCTAAAGCAAGAGTGGCTCCAGCTGAGGCTAGCTTTCGTGACCTGACTGAAAGTGACCGCAATTGCGATCTCTGCAAAAAATATACGGGTCATTGAGCTTTTGCCGACCAACCAACAACCAAGCAAACCATAGGACAGTGCATGAAGACCGGCCCGAGTGGCCACTAGCTTCTGTCATCACCCCTCCTCCCGAAACCTTCAGGTGCAAATTCCGGCAAAATGGTGGTGATGAAACTCCAACAGTTCTGACTTTCTCAACACGGGGGCCTGCGAAGGTGTTGGAAGAGACCCAGGCTGTTGGAGCAGTCCTTGATTGGCCTGCAAAAGTCTAGCTGCGCTCATGAAGTCTTCACAACCGGGCATCTCACCCTCCACCGGCAAATGCCGTGCTGCCTAGAATCTGACATGGCCTCCTAAATCAATCCTTTGCGCACACACACATACATACACCTGACCCTATACAAGTGAATTGGACTGCAATGGGTAGGTCCTCATCCAAGGGTTGCGGGCCTGAAACCGCTGTTCAGGAGGCGAAAGCCCAGCGTTGTGATCCTGACGAGTCACAGCTGCAAAATTCGTCGGTGGCCGACCCTACATACGTTCCAAATTCCTAACAACCAAGCAATTGTTGGCAGAGGGAAGACCAACACTAGGCCCTAGTCGCCAGTAGATTCTACCACCGGCCCCATTGCAAAGCGCGCTCGGTTTCTAGATTCCAGCAAATGCTGGATTTCCTGGCTGCTCAGCTGCTACTTCCAAAGCTTGTCGTGGCTATGTAAGTTGCACCCGTCTGACATGTTCTGTAATTTGTCCCAAGTGGACCGATCAAACTTCAAGGACCTACAAGTTTCTCCATGATCGGGCTGTCGACTCATCCACCTACGTCCGTGAGCTGTTTTTCGTAGTGAAACTCCTGTACTAAATGATCATGACAGAAACACGCTTCCTACAGGTACCTCATCACCAAAGGTTTGGGTCTTACAGCTGCGGAAAACCTCCTTGCGCTGTCTGTCATCTCCGAGAAACATCCAACTGATCTTGCCGGCGCTCTTCTGTGGTCATGCTGCACCTGACATGCACTTGTGTGAACTTTCCTTCAGTGAAAGCAGCTGGATGTTGCAGTTGACGAAGCATCCAAGGCTCGGGGATGTAATGTAGGAAGAATAGAAAACAACGCGGCTCGGCGGCTCTACTGAAGGATGATGCTCTCGACACTTCTACTTCTTACTCTGTACGCTTGCCAGCGAGCTCAGCCCCGCGCTGCAAGCCCCCTTCATCGTGACTGCCGTTTGCCTGCCATGGCACTCAGTTTCGCTCATGCAGTTGCTCAAGCTACTCTGAGAAACTCATGCTTGGCTACTCGTTGGGAGGCCTAGGGAGGGTCCATGTCTTGGGTGACACTGAAAAGGATAGCCTTCGCAACAGCTGCCCTGATGCGGGGCGGAGCGGAATAGCACCTCCGCTTGCAGTCCTGCAGCTGCAGGTATGAAAGGTTGTGTTTGTGTCGCGTCCAGTGCTAGTAGGTGTGGAATGAGTTGATGTTTACGTTTGTACTTGGCACATTTCGGAGACACTCTGACACCCAACTAGGTTTGGGGAGAAAGCCACGTGAAAGGTTATCATAGTGCACCTGCCGGTTTTGATATGCACCTTAGAAATTGAGATCGTAAACGCTTTCTGCAGACCATGCAATAGCTGTACAAGGCACAGGTTTGGGATGTGGTGCAAACTGCAAGAAGGGAAAACCTCCGAGGAATAGATTGACATGACTGCCATCGTAAGTCATGTTGCTGCTCACTGGTGACAAGTCCCGCAGCCTACCACAGTGGCCAAGCAAAAGTTGTGTTTCTTGAGGTTGAACATGAACAAAGCCGTCTCCCCGTAGGATCCTTCAACAGTCGAGAAGCCTCAGTATAAATCTGAAAAGGAGTGTGATGATTGATGGCGCCCCAAAGCCCATGCAAAGCGGACTGAAGTCTTGCAACTTAGGTCGCTGGGATCTCAGTACCCATTCACGCCCGCAAAATGAATACCCTAGATTTTCTAAACATGTGCATCTTCAAAGGATCTAGGAGGACGAGTGTTGACCCTCCGGGTCCTGCTCAGTTGGAAAGTGAATGAACGTCTTCGACACCGGAATCTTTGTGCTGGCGATGCCGACCTGGCATACGTTCTGGCCAAGGGCACCTCTGATGATGCGTGGGGGGACAACACATATTGATTCACATTGCAATTCCTACATGTGAAGGTAGAGACAGTACTTTGGATGTAAAACAATACTTGTACACCCATGCACGCCAAAGGCGACGCAAAGCATGGAAAGTTTCCGTGTGAAAAACTATTGCTGAGGTCAACGATCAACAAGTGGGGCTGACTTGTGGACTCTCAACCTCACATGACGGAGCTGGATCGGTAGACCCGGAAAAAGTCTGTCGAAATCAATGTCTCTGGGGGTTGCCGTTCCTTTGAACAGTGCCGGACAAAGGATGGTTCTCGAGTTTCCATCCTTACAAGCCCATCCCTGCCGATCCATAGATGGAACAAATCCCTACGTTGAGTCCTCCAAGCCCTACATGGATTGTGTGGCCACTTCCCACCATCCCTGGCCTGAGCTTGTGAGCCAGTTGAGCTCCCAGTAAAGTCAATCTCCTGGCTGTACATGGCCGTGGGCACCTAAGATGGAGCCAAGCAGCTTTTCAAGCAATTGAAGGAGGCCGTCCACACCCAACGTTCAGGATGTGACCTCTTTTCAAAAGTTTAAAGTCATTACTTGTTCAGGGAGCAAGCAAACCAAACATGCGGGCCTCTCAAAAGGTCGCTCTGAAGATCCTTACAAAAGAACTGGTTCAATTCCTTGCTATTCAGCTCAAGCTTTTGAGGTACAGAACGCCAAGAATGTTCGGGAAGATTGAAAAAAAAAGGATCGTCTGCTCTAACAGCAGCTTGGGTAGTTTAGGCGTGACCCTTTTCACACAAATCCATGCGAGACATGTTGGGAATGGTCATCTGGCAAACTACGGGTCCCATGGAGAATCGGCAAGGGAGCGACCCCGGACAGACCGCTGAGAGAAACTCTTGAGCAGTGGGTGAAAGGGGACCCAACTGGTGCAGTGGGTGAAGCCATCTCCACTTTTCCGCAATGAACTTTCCACTCGTCTCTCAGCCAATTTCAATCATCAAGACCATTTTTCAGCATCTTCACGAACAGTTGAAGGAACCAAGCGTGCATTCAAGTCAAAAGGCTTTGACAAACCTACCATACATGAATATATGTGTAGGTGCACTGTGGGCTACCAGCTACGTGCACTGCTTCAGCGGATGTCCAAGGAGCTGTCACGGCTTCAAGGGCACCAGCGCGATGCATAGATCCCACAGGCACGCTATGTTGGGCCGAAAGACACAGAACATCCATGTTGACTGTACATGTTCGACCCACAAGCTGCGAAATTCATGAGACACGGAGCAAATCTAACAGGCACAAAGGACTCCGGGGGAAACTGCCATGAAGATAGTCGAGAAATGCTTTCCGCACTATAAACCGGGCTGAAAGAAGCTCCGAAAAGCAGCCTACAAACATGGACAAACGAGAAACGCCCCTGAAAGGAGCTCTTTTCACAAAGCGGTTCTGGCATTGTACCGTGTCAATTAACGCCAACCGTTGCACCAACCTCAGTAAAGCTCGAAAAGAGAAGCGCCATCGATACCTAGAAATGGTGAGACTGCCTATTGGATTATACACAAGCCCTGGTGCTTTCCCGTCGTTCACACAAACCACTGGGGTCCCAGCTACAACACCAATGGTGGCACCCACTGCGGCAGAGGTCCCAACTGCCTCATCCTGGAGACAATTCCGCGCCCAAAGGATAGATTTTCCTGAGTTTGCTTCAATCAGGAACAGTGGGGTGTAATGGCAACTGGCAACGGACGAAATTGGCTCGATCTTTCTCGAGTCCTTGTGCCTTTCTTCTCCCTTGATGTGCAACTGTTTAGGCCCATGCGGAATGCAAGAACAAAACCTCTTCTCAGACCCACTGCTGCAAGTCTACACTCTTCAGCGATGCGTGCTTTAGTGCTTGTTCATCTGGTTCAACAGCCTGAAAACAACAAACTAACCACTACCTTGACAACTAAGTGCTCCTGATTTTCATCATCATCAGAGCTACCTGGCCATCGGCAGTTGGCTGAAGTTGCTGGATTCTGATCCCAATCACCATTTTAGGCCTATGTGGATGATTGACAGCAATGAATCAAGGTGGTGATCCACGCCCTGACATGTCGAAAGCTCCTGGTCCTATTCACCTGGAGCACCTTAAAACCTCAAAGCCTCAGCAAACTATTCCTGTGGTGTCTGTTGCCGGTTTCAAGCAAACACAACCTTCATAGACATATAGTTACGGGCTCCTATACTTGTGAGGATTAGTTTGGCGACCATTTGCCTCTCTCTCTCTCTCTCTCTTCCTACACTGGGGTTGGAACTAGAAACAAGTTCTCAAAAACCAAGCTGCTCGACATACTCACCCCAGTTTGTGAATAGTTACATTTCCGAGCCAATAAAGGCACGTGTGTTTGGCTAACCTGTCTATCTCTTTCGAGTCATGGCTCTTTGCTGTCTAAACATCTTTGGCCACATCGCTCGGCTTGTGTTAGCGTGCCGATGCTGAAAGACACTCGGCACCTCCCAGTGCATCACCCACGGAGGCTGTCGTCTCGGCAGCCAAAGCGGCAAAGGCCTGCAATCATGCCCGCCCATGTCGAGCGTGCAACCAGGCGAGAACCAGAACTCTCATTATAAAGCAACATCATACACCAAGTGCGCTAAGGCAAGGGCAAAATTGATTTGAGGGATATTTTCTAAGCCTGCGTGATGCTGACAACAAGAAAGGGCATACAAACTACACTTAACAAGACTTAACAACTGAACCTTCTGACCCTCCCAAGACCAGAACACAAGAAAGATCACAGGCCCCAAAGCCGCAGTTGTCACCATCGCTTGATTTGCGCCTTCACATAGTCGCCGAAACCTGGCACCTGGTGTTGGGCTCGCCGAGCCGCTCGACGGGTGGTCGTGGTCTTTAGACTCGAGACTTTGGACGATCGGCAAGTCGGCTTCGTTTTGGAGAAAGACAGGGTCAACAATGGGGTTGTGCTCCAAGATGTCCATTTCTACGGAGGGGCTTTGTGCTTTCTTGGAGAACGGTTGCTCTGAGAGGCTCCAAGCTTCAAGCCTGAAAAGCAAGCCCGACCGAAATGAAGAAGCACCGGCGAGTGGACATGGAAACCAAACCATTCGTTAGCCAAGAGCTTCCACTCTGCAATGCGCCAAAACTTTCCGAACGAAAAGGAACCCATGTTGAACCCAGAGTTTCCAGCATGAGAACTTATTCGCCCCCTCTATGCTGGCCTTCACTGCCTTGGTGGTACGTTGTAGGAGGCTGGTCTTGGCCTGGATGAAAATGAGGCGAATCGACGAATTAATGGCAGTGCGCAAAGCACTGTCTTCTTTTGAGCATATTGGAGTTGTGGGCGTGAGCTTTTTGGCGTATGCGTCTTCAAAGAATGACAAAAGATTCTGCGCATCATCCCTCAAAATGACAGGCTGCTTCAAGATTTTTCTGATGAATGAAAACGCAACCAACCTCTGGAAGTAAAAAGCGGGTTTAATCAAATCACCTGGAAGTCCACCTTGCCACCCAAAGTACCTCCAGGTCTGGTTCCTTACTCAGGCAGGCTGCTGTTGGCACGGGAAGGTTCCCAGGCGGAAGGTTTCCTAGTTCCTGTCACCAGGGAATTGGCACGAGTACCTTGGCTTCCCTGCCTTCGAAGATTTTTTGCTGTGGTTGCTTGTCAAGCTGACCTGACAAACTGGTCTGAAGAACACATTTGGAGGCTCGTTCGTAACCAAGGTGTGGCAAGCTCGTGACTTGTTTCATTTTGTAGTCCTAGAAAGCTTTTCTGCTACATTCCATGACCTTTTTGGATTGCCTACGGTCCTGCAAGTCTCAACCAGCCTCAAGTTCCACCCTGGCTGCAACTGCAACCCGCAAAAAAGCACCTAAATCCTAAGCTGTTCATCTCATTGTGGCTTGGCACAATGACCAGTTTTAGAAAGGGTTCCATGTAGTAGGGCACACTTCCGCGACCTTTCTATGCCATCTTTTTCGCACCTTCGTCGGTGTCTCAGCAGTCTGGTTCTGCATCAAGAGAGTCGCCTCAGAGCGCTTCATCCAGCGATGGACATTGGTTTAGCTGTTTCCGAACCTGGAGAAACACATGGACATGGAGGCATGAAATTCCTCGACCGAAGTTCTCATGGATTCCGGTCGGCGAGAATTCTTGCGCTCAGGTCTGTCTCTGGTGGCCACGGGGGCTGAGAGGCTGCCTCCAATCTGCTCCAGTCTGAAAGTTCCGAACATGTCCGCATGGGAAAGGCTTGTCATGGCCTGTTCTGTCCCTGAAGTCTTTCAATGAAAACTGTTCAGGGCTCCCTGGCGAGCAGGAGCATTCGGCTGCTGAAGCTTTGGGCCCCAACAGCCCTACACATTCAGCTTGCCAAACAAAGCAGATCAGGATGCATTGCGTCCGAGTAGCAGTTCTGTTGATGCTGCTAGACGTTCCATTGGCCGACGTCCTTGAACGGTGCACTGCACAGGACAGAGATCTTGTTGGCAGACCACTCCCATTCGACCAAAAATCTATGCACGTCATGGACAAAAATCTACAGTAGTGTGATCTAGTAAGTGGCAAACGAAGAGCATCCTGCCAGAGTGGACATTTCATTGCACGTTTGGCTTTGCTGTGGCTTATTTTGTGGGAGGCGGGAGAACCCCACACCAAAAAACATTGTTTCCTTGGGTTTGTTTCGGCTTTGAGGTTGCACCCCACCCATGAGCAAACAACGGTTTGTCAATTCAAGTTTTCCATGGTATTTCAACCCCCCCGCCGATCAGCAGGGGCACATTCGTGACCAGGTGTGAAATCAGCAATGTCCACTTGCACTTGTGAGAATCGTTTATTCAACAATGGGGCGTGCAATAATCCCAAATCATGACTTCGCTTGCAGACCCTCGCTGCCCGGTAGAACTGCTCAGTTCATTGTGGGCTCAAAACTCCAAATCCACAAGTGCATCCACACGATCCGCCAGGACACACGTTCCGCTTCTGATTCCCATGCAGGTGCGTCTGCAGGAATACCACGTAGGACCTCAGGTACTCACCGGATTTACACCAACTGGCACAGGTGTCATGACATCTGGTCGAGCAACGCTTGCTTTCGCCGTTGCTCGATTCGATTGTTCACCTCCAATTGGCGTGAGCACATCCAATGGGGTCTGCACATGATGACTGGCGAGAAAACCTGCGGTAGCAAATGAATGGGCCCGACCTTGTGGTTGGTGGCAAAAAGGATCTCCACTCCGATTTCTTCCGCAGCCAAAGGGGGCGGGGTGTTGAGGTCTTTTGAAAGGGAAACCTTAGCTTGGCAAAAGGGCAAACTCGACCAAAACCTGCCACAAAAAAAACTTCACCTAAGCGCCTTTTGGACCACTTCTTTGGACTTCATCTCCCCCGCTTGTTGCGTCGCTTTCGGCCGAGCCGCGACTCCTCCTCTTCCAGGGCGGCGACGTGTCGGCTCGCCTGTGCGGCTGGGTCAGTCCCTGGCAAGGAAATGATCAAAGCACGTCACACAATTCCGCACCCTAGAGCACATGAGAGCACAAACACACACACACACATGAGGGCAGACATATGAAAGCACACGCGTGAGAATGCTGTTGTGAGAGCACGGGTATGACTGAACACGCGTGTGTGAGCGCACACATGAAAGCACACAAATCAAACACATGAGAGCACACGCGTGGTAGCATTCATGTGGGGGTGCACATATGTGAGCAAGCACAGCAAAGCACGCGTATGAGAGCACATGGGTGCAAAGCACACGCAGCACACAAATGGCAGCACGCATCTTGAAAGCACAGCTATTTGAGAGCATATATGAAAGAACACGCGTGTGAGAGGTTCACGAAGTACTGCCTGCGCCACGAAATCTGTGCTCCGAGGTGCCACGAATTTCTGCTGCGCCTGCCACAAACTCTGCACTTGGAGAATCACAAAGTGCTGCGCCTGCCACGCATCTGCGCTTCAAGGTTCGTAAAGCGCTTTTTACTTGCAGAAGCTGATATGGTTGTCAGTCTTAGTCGGAAAGTTGGGCCATTCCGACCCCTGTTGTGCTGAGTGCAGCTGGTCGAGCCACAACGGGTCCGTACCCCAACCCTAGACCACCCGATCGCTGCCAAGTGACACGGAGAGAGTGGGTGATAAATCTTGTGGCCCTCGGTGACAGCTCTTGCTGCCAATTTGGCCACACCTGTCTCGGATGCAAAGGTAAAACCCCATGATTGGGCCAGTGGGGCCAACCTCATGTCCGGAAACTAAAGTGTAAGTACCGAAAGCATTTCATGATGCCCCCTGTGGATTCCTAATGTTGCCAAGGAAACTCAAGGCTCTGCAAGAAAAATGATTTGCAAAAGTAGGCCGGTGGCTTGGTGGTGTGCTCGAACCATATCTATCCATTTTTCTCCATGCTTCTACTCAACAGGCCAACAGGCGGTCTGATGTTTTTGTGCAAGGCTGGCTAAAAAGGCCTACTTCAGTCCAAAAGAAGCTAGCAGGCAACTCCAAGTGTGGCACAGCGTTTGAATTTGGAGACCCGCAATCATCACCCGTTTACTCCACCTTTCAGCTCCTCTCTCGTTCCCGCCTTCTATATAATACTTCCACAGCCACTGACAGCGTGTTCCGTTCCTTCTCAGATCACCTTCTCACATAGCCTGTCCCCCTCCCATCTTTATTAAATCAATTTTTCCCAGTGGGTGAAAGCATTGGGCTCCTGTGTTTTCTGGATAAAGGTGTGGGCTCCTGCTGGGCTCCTGTTAGGCTCCGTGCCAAATCCTCAGTTTTTGCATGGGCTCCATGTGGGCTCCTGGGTTTTTCCACGTAATGGTGCGGGCTCCGCCTGGGTGCAGCAGTTTTGGTGTGGGCCCCATGTGGGTTCCCTGTGTTTTTCAACGCGTCTCTCTTTCTTTCTTTCTTGCTTTCTTCCCCTCCCTTCCCTTCCCTTCCCTTCCCTCCTTGGCTTGGGTTTCCTTTTCCTTTCCTTTCGGCTCGTTCGTTCGTTTGTTCCTTCGTTCGTTCGTTCGTTGGTTCTTTTTCTTTCTGTATTTATTTCTTTTCATTCTTTCATTCTTTCATTCTTTCTTTCTCTCTTGCTATTGTTCTCTTTTCTCTTTCCGCCGTCACGCCTCCACATTTCGCGCCAAACGGGTCCAGTTGGACGACCGGTAATGTCGGATCCTAGTTAGTTAAGTGGGAGGGAAAAAATGTTCGGGGAAAATATTCTAACGCCCTGCAAGCTTGAAGGGAGGGAATGGTGAAAAGCTTTTTCCCTCAGGGTGTGTGTGTGTGTGTTTTGTTTATGTCTATTGTTCTGCAATTGGCGGCCTGTAAAATCCTTACTCAACTCTTCTGAGATTTGCTTGGCTCATGGAATTCAGGCCTGGAAACCGTTTTCAAAAAAAACGTCCATGAAAGGCAACGATATCATTGCTCCAAAAAAATGTTCAAGGGGGTAGTGCACAAGCCCACGGAAAGTGAATAGAACGAATTGCTTACTTACTTACTTACTTTACTTTACTTTACTTTACTTACCTACTTACTTACTTACTTACTGACTTACTCACTTACTCACTGACCCACCCACTTACTCACTTACTTACTTACTTAACTTAACTTACCTTAACTTACCTTAACTTTCCTTAACTTTCCTTAACTTAACTTAACTTTACTTACCTTTACTTAACTTTACTTAACTTTACTTAGCTTAACTTAACTTTACTTAACTTTACTTACCTTTACCTTTACTTACTTACTTACTTACTTGCTTACTTACTTACTTACTTACGACTAACTACTAGCCACTAACTTACTACTACTACTACTACTACTACTACTACTACTAGTAGTACTAGTACTACTACTGCTACTGCTACTGCTGCTACTGCTACCCCTGCTACCAATACTACTAATTGTTTTTATCGCCGCGATGCTGTTTATACTCTCACCTTTTTTTTGCTGGAGGGATGGGCTTCCTCTTGAAGGCATCATAAGAAAAAAGCGGAAGAGCCTGAATTCCACCGCGTGAGTTGGCCCTTACTTAGGGCAAAAATCAAGATGGGTGTTTCCATCATTGACTTCTTCCATGTAATCAAACTCAGAGTCCAAGGCGCTGTGATGTACACAGCCCCTGTGTACGTCACATACACACGTTGCCTAGACCCTAGGCCACCCGATGGCTGCCAAGTGACACGGAGCGAGCGCCGCAAATAACGGTGCGTGCGAGGGGACAGGTGTTGCTGCCACACCGGCCACGCCTGTGTCGGATGCGAAGGTAAAGCCTGTTGCCCAAACAAGTGGCCCAATCTGAGAAGATGAGATTCATCGACAACTACGGCATGAATAGAAAGAAAGAACGAAACTCCGTGAGCACAAAATTTTTTCCATTGCGTGAACAGCAAGTTGGCTCAAAGAACCCAAGGAATTCGCTTGTCTCACCATGAAGGACTCTGTGAAGTGGGGTTCAGAGACAGACTTGCTAGATAGGACACCAATGGCCTACAAGAACAATACAGCAACCCAAGTTCATAGAGCCGGTTTCCCAGAGATCATGATCGGTATCTCCACGCAAATTCGCAGTTGTGTCGCAAGAAAGGCATGCCTAAGATCGCCTCATGTCTGTCACGTTTCATTAGAAACAGTCTTACGATGCATGTTGACTAATGCGCTGCGAACCGCTGTTTCGATGACGGACTCATCCACCACTATCTTCGAGAGTATATGTCCACTATCAATGAGTACTATGCCAGCAAGCAACTCAGTGCATTTGCGAATCATTGCATCTATCCACAGTTCCACACCAGCCGACTTTGAGGCCAAGTGGATTGATATGCACATGCGACACAAGGAACGTCACAATCATGTTCAAACGGACAATTACTTCATGATCTTGAATTAGATGACTGAGATGACTTAGCATCAAGAGGCCTACATGAATTGTTCAATCAACGTCGGTTACCAGAAGCCACCCCATTATCATCACCGTCATCACCGCCCATCCTCCCCAATTGGTGTTCGGTGTTGGCAAAAAACCAGTCGGTCAAGCCACAGCTTCTGATCTTGCCAGTCATGTACAGCCTGTCCAAACCTTCCTTGGTTCGCTGACAGGCCCGCCCGCGATTGTTTGATGAAATGGAGGGGATGGGCCCCCAAGTGAACAAGATCCCAACGGTAGTCTTTTCTACCGAGTGAGCCCGATAATGACATGAGTGGAAGTAACCTCCCACTCCGACCCCCGCTCACCGACCCACAACCTATCCATACCCCACCCGATCGCTGCCAAGTGACACTGAGTGAGTGCCGCAACTAGTGGCAAGTGCGAGGCGACAAGTCTTGCTGCCACTTTCGCAACACCTCTCTCGGATGCGAAGGTAAAGCCCCATGATTGGCCCAGTGAAGCGTAAGTATTGAAGAAAGCATTTCATGATGCCCCCTGGGGATTCCTAATGTTGCCACAAGAAGTTCAAGGCTCTGCAAGAAGTTCATCTAATCAAAATTTCAGGAAGACACCCACCGTGCCTCCACACCGGGAGGAGCATAGACAGGTGCCATGAAAGAAGTCATTCTCTCTTTGCGACTGCTCTTGCTAAATTAGTCATTGCTCGTTTTGGCAGTTGTCCATTGATGACACACTGCCAACACCTCAGCGGCAAATGATGTCGTGGCACATCCTGTCCGTCCGTTTTGCTGAAGCCCAACCTTCACTTGCAGAAGCTGATATGGTTGTCAGTCTTAGTCGGAAAGTTGGGCCATTCTGACCCCTGTTGTGCTGAGCGCAGCTCACCGACCCACAGCCTATCCGTACCCCAATCCTAGGCCACCCGATCGCTGCGAAGTGGCGCGAAGGGAGTGAGTCAGAGCCCTGCTCACGTTGGCCGGTAGCTCTTGTTGCCATGCCGGCCATGCCTCCCATTCACAGGTTGCCAATGCGCCATTTCTTCAGCGGCCAGGGATGAGACATGTATGGAAATGGTACCAATGGTGTCACGGTGACGTTTGCTTGTAATTTGCTCACGTCGACCAAGTTTCCCTTGGCTTGGTTTGACTAGGCCCCCTAGTCTAGAATGCCACTGATGCCTTTGTATTTAAAGGCTTATGCCTGACAGCCGGGCGCCCGCCTGTATGAGATGAAGAGGCAGAGGTCGCGCAATGTCTTGGCGTCGGTCTTCTGGGACGTGGGAAAGAAAGAGGAACTGGAAAACGCAGAGGAAGAGGAAGCCAATAGGAAGAGGAACAGGAAGAACAAAAAGGGGAAGAGACAGAGAAAGAGCAAGAGAAAGAGCAAAACAGCAAGAGAAAGAGGAAGATGAATACACGTTGACCAAAACCTTTTTTGGCACCACAGGTACAAAGACTTGGTCATAATTGCTCGTCTGGTGTAACCTGCAAACTGAAACGTACCAAAAAACATGGGATTATGCCCCCGGATGCCTAATGTTGCCCAATGTCTGGTTTTGCAAGAAAAGACAAAAACATGGCTTGCAAAAGCGCAGGCAGGTGCAGGTTCTAGGGACACGCTCCAGAGCAGGTTCCGGAGCAAGTTCCAGAGAAGGTTTCGAAGCAAGTTGTAGAGCAAGTAGTATGTCCCCGAGCAAGTTCCGGAGCATGTTCCGCTTCTGTTCTGGAGCAAGTTCCATGCCACATCTGGAATAGTTGGAGTACCTTCTCTGGAGCAGCCAGAATCGGGGAATTGTTCAATCCACTTCTATCGTGAGGGTCTGAATGATGTTGGCCTGCGTCTGGAAATGCTCTTTGCTTGTTATGGTGTTGTCATGCTTGTGCATTTGTGGGCGCATGTACTACACTGATAACAACACGGACATATTGCTGTGTTAATTTGCTTGCTTTGGTTTTGGCCCCGCAGTGAAGAAACCATTCCACAGCCCGCGGCAGATTGCAGTGGAGCAGTCGAGTGGGGAGACTATACTCTGGTGGAGGGGGCGCTGCTGTGTGCGCTTACGCTGCAGGTTGCCGCTGCCGCTATCGCCACTGCAGGGTGCCGCTGCTGTGTGCCCTTGGGTGCTGGTGCCGCTGCAGGGTGCCGCTGCTGTGGCGCTTGGGAGCTTAGGTGCTGGTGGTTGGCACGGTTGCAGTGCGCCGCTGCTGTGTGTGTGTGTGTGCTTGTTATTGGTATCGTGTACGGGGTTGATGTGATGTTTTCAGGAGCGCTGTGGAACGCGAGTGCAAAAGCCACGGCAGCTTGAACGCAATGATTCCAACGAGGTGATCCCCTGACTCAAGGTCAGGGATCTCGAGGCCAAATAGACACAAAGGACGAATCACGAATCACGAGTACCGCATCACGAAACGAATCACGGATCACGAAACACAAGTCACGCGGGTGAGTAACGAATCACGAATCGCGAAAGGAATGACGAATCACGAAGCGAATCACGAATCACACGGCTGAGTATCGAATCACAAAATGAAGGGTGAATCACGCGGCTGGGTAACGAATTCCGGATTACCACAACCAACCTCATGTTTGGAAACTAAAGTGTAGCATCGAAGAAAAGCATTTCAATGGTGCCTCCTGTGAATTCCCAGCGTTGCCCAACAAATTGTTGGTTCTGCAAGATGAAGATTGTTTGCAAAAGCGCAGGCAGGTGGGTCTGGAGGCCTGTTTGGACCCCAAGCTCCATATGAGCAGGTCTTCTCTATGCTTCTACTCAACTGGCTAGATGACCTTCTGCATGCCAACGGTCCGAAGTTCTCACGTGAGGCTCACTACCAAGGCCTTTTCCAGCCCAAAAGAAGCTAGCAGGCAACTCCGGTTCCCACCCATCCCGCTAATGAAGCATGAAAACGTTTCTGGCAAGCCCCCATGTGACAGGCCGGCTGCCCTGAAATCAGCGCATCAAATTGAACCGCCCCGATCTTCTGCACCTGCCATGCAGCGTCGCCTTGAGACCACCAAAGATGAGCTCTCTCTCTGGTGCCTCCCACGAAAAGTAACCACAAACCCGAAAATGCGCACTGCGCCACAACGAGAGCACGGTCGAGGAAAGCACCTGCGCGCGACCGCGAAGTCGTAGTGCACTTCGAAGATTTTGAGAGGCATGAATGCACCGTAAATAGCAATGATTTGGGCGCCGACGGATGTGAGCACCCTCGATCAAACACAGCCTGAGTTATTACTGTAAGAACTCGTAGTTCGACACCACACTGTTTGCTAAAAATATCCAAAAGGGCGAGCAGAAAAGTTGTCATGTAAACATGTCTGGATGATTGTGGAGACCTGGCTGTTCAAGCTGTGCCGAACCCTTGCCCATTGCAAACCTTTTGGGGCTCACTGAACGCCTGCTAAAATGTTGCCAAACAGGACTCCGAAGAAATGAGGAACCGACGCCCGAGCAAAACTTGCGGATTTTTCAGCCTGAAAAACAAAATAAACGGTGAATTTTCCAAGTTTGAGAGCGGGTAGTCGAACTTTGCCTCTACATCATGGCAGCTGAGAATCAACCTGGGCGTTGACGGATCCCGAGTGACCCGAGTGTAGCAATAGCAAGTCCAAAAACAAGAACGGGACGACGCAAATAGTATGGAGATCATCTCTTCGTTGGACACTAAACTGGTGTCTTGAGAGTTGTTGAGCTCCAAAAGAGACTTGTCAAGTATTTTCACTGTGGATCTTCATTTGGCTCGATATTGCGCGCTGGCGGCTCCCCTGCTTCGCAGGCCCAAGTACGAGCGGCTTACTGTACTTGCCACTTCATGTTTTTGCGTGAGCTGGGGCCGCTCCCTGAACTGATCGTCATACTACTTTTGGGTATATCAGTATATCCCATTCCCTGCCACAGTGGATAATGATGGTTAATTAGTACAGCAGGCCATTCTCTAAAGTAGTGATAATCTTTCACCAACCCCAAGCGCCCGCGTTAGCTAGGGTTCTTGGAATCAGCTGAGCTCTTTGACCCAAAAGGGTTCCTCCGACAAGGACCGTGCGGGGCATTTGTAGCCCCGGGAGCCCGAAAGCGGCAATATGACAAAGACGTAGATCCTTCAAACATCTTCAAACCTCGAAGTGCCTACGAACAATGGAAGCAAAGCTTGTCGATGTTTTCGGAAACAGTCGCCGCACATTCTGGCTCGAGTGACGCTATGTCCCATCAAACTGACATATCATAGTACATGGTTCATTATGCTTCCCTGTTGACGGGTGAAGCATCCCAAAAACATCCGTCTCGCCTGTACCCTTCCCCACATCGCAAAAAACCGGCGATTCGCCGACTGCCAAGCTGCAGCCACGCCCAAGGCCCAAGCCTCCGTGGGAGATGGCTCACCCTGTGGTGAATGAAATGGAAGAAGTTTCGTGTCAAAAGTGGACAGTTGGACCTTGGCTCCAGTGGAAAGAAGGATGGCTCACACCACTCGCTCGTGTCAAAAGAAGTGTTTGCACACATCAAGCCAGTGGACCTTTGCAAAGGAACAAGGACGCTACTAGGAACAAAGGGCATCGCTACTAGGAGCAAAGAAGCTACTAGGGGCTCCTGGCCTTACTACTAGGAGCAATGTTTGCTAGTAGACACAATATATAGAATTTGGTTACGGAACTGCTCGCTTGCTCTACCAGTTTCTTCGCCCATGATTTACGGCAGTTTTCATGATGATCCTTTTGGCATTGGCTTGTTGTTAGCATTGGGATTCACAGTCATAGGACATAGCAGAAAAACCAGCCGGTTTCCATGTTTGTGTCGACTCTTGATCAATCAACCCCGATGCCATTTGGATGGCCATTGGCTGACGACCGCGCCACGTCGAGTCGACGGACGACGCCTCATGGCCGGGCCGGCACCCACCCGGTTCGGTATGCAAATCTGAGCCACCAAGGTTGGTCAGATGGAAAAGGGAGTTCTCTGGGAGAGAAGGGTGAACAAACACTGAGGCCATGATCAAAGCAGTTTTTGGTGTACGGGACTTGTCTGCTTCACAACTTTTCCGGTGGAAGCAGATTCCGGATTCTGCAAACCATGACATTGTCTCAAAAGATCTCAAAAAGCAATCCAAGGTTGCACAGACCCCCATCGGCCAGAGGGGGAGAAGGGAAGCTAACGCCCACTGGTAAACCCGTGGAAACCTAAGGCAAGGCACACAAAACATGGGAACCACATTCAAACATCTCCAGCGATGTGGTCAGTCTTGGGATCAGTTGTGGCTGGGGAGCCACATTCAAACCATGGGAAGCCGCAATCCAAGGATCTCCAGCGATGTGGCCGTCCCATTTCTGGGACGCCCCTTTTCAATGCAGCCGTCCATTTCGGTCGCAAGCGAAGACAGTTGGGAGATGTCACAGGGTGGCAATTGACAGTTCATCACTTTCCTGAACCAGCATGGAAGCCGCTCGTTTATTAAGTCAGATTAAGTCAAAACATGGGTGACCAAACATGGAACATCGGTTTTTTTGGGGGCCTGACTGCTGAGGGCTTGGAATCAAATGCGCTGATATATCGGACTGCATCTTCTCCCATCTGCTTCATCCCGACGCCCGCGCCCCTTGCTATGTGGGTCTATCTCGCTCGACCTCTCTTTGGGTCGAGCGACAGGCTGACCGGTCGGGGGGGCACCGGATGAACAACAAAGGTGTTAAACCGGCTGGTGATAGGTGGGTACTGTGGAAAAAGCCAGCCACACAACAACTGCATCATGCATGGCAGGAAACTGGATACATTTAACACACAAGTTCTGCTCCATGTATGACAAGTATTAGAAGTATTATGGTACCGGGGCTTTGGAGCTGGCACCGGGCGACCTGCAGCCAGACATATCCTGACTGAAGCCATCTTGCTATAGCACAAAGGCAGTGCCTCAAGGATATGTTTGGTGGGCTCCGCTAAGAAAGGTGACTAGGTCAAACGTCAAAACCATATTACCTTGGGTCTGTATCGATTGGTGGTCATGTCTACGACAAGCGTCGACCTATGCATCGACCGATCAAGTTTTTAAAAAGGAACCGATGCATTGACATGAAAAAGTCCGCTCAGATCTTCTTCGTGACTGTGAGAAAAACGCCATACTTCTCCCCCTGGCAGTGTTTCTCTCACAAAGGCGCTGCTTGAACTGGCAACTTAAAGGATCCCACAGGCAAATGCTCTATTGAATTTGGCAAATGTTTCAACATAGCCAAAGTCATATCGCTTGGCCCACTGGGAATATCGACTCACAAGAAGCAACCAAGGAATCATCAAGCTTGGTCTGCAATCAGCCATCCCAGTTAGTCTGAAAAGGTTTGGAGGAGTGCATTGTGAATGCCCAGACTGCAATGGCAGGCTGCTACCAGCAAACCACAAAGAGCACCCAAGCAACCAACCAGCAACAACAAATCCAACCCTCCAAACCTGCTTGGATCAAGCAGCACCATCCGTGTAGCTCTGAAGCTCCTGCCGATCGGGGGCCTGTTGCGAACATCTCGTTGTTGGTGGAATGCTCGGATGTGGGGGATGACCAGTCAAGACATTACTGGGGCTCGGTTACACCTCAAGCACTTGACAAGAGTGCAGATTTCGGTGAAAACGTGGATGGGTTTTCGACCCGGGAGATCCTTGACCAACCTGCATCTCTACCACTTTGCATCCCCCCCAAACGCATCTCACCATCCAACCAATCACGCCCCGACCGGTCAACCCGTGGAACGAACGTGGAACGAACGCGGTTGACAACCGACTCCGACGCGGTGGGACGTCGGTGGTACCGGTCTCCTTGTGCACTTTCTCGATGACCACCTCCAAGGGCCTCGGTCCGTGCGCGTCCTCGGTCCGTGCGAGTCCGTCCGACTCTCCTCCGGGTGCGCGGGTTCCACGCCTCGGTCCCCGAAGGAGGGAGGGAGTGAGGAAGGAGGTGCCGTTGGTGGCGGAAGAACAGTCGGAAAACTGGAGACATCGACTCGTTGAATTCCAGAGTCACTGAAAAACGTGCTGTGAGTTGCTGGGATGTGCATGGAGCGTCGCGCGTTGTGCTGGAAACGAGGTCCTCAGGATGCAGAAGCGGCTGGAACCCATGCTGATAAGTGTTCTAGCTTCTACTGGAGGTGCAAGGGCACTAGGGTGACCACAATCGGCACCGAGAGCTGCAACTTAGTTGGAACTCACTTCTGAACTTGGAGATTTGTGGTGCAATTACGTTAAACGCAGCCAAAACCTGCAAACACCACCCGACAGTCACCTGTCACAACTCTAGATTCCTACGACAAGTCGACCAAAAGTAGACACCCAAGAAGTGGAATTTCATGGAATTTCGTGGTTTCGCCGACCACATCATGTTCACCTCCACATCCCAACAGAGGTTGAAGAACCCGAACTAGACTATATATCCCAGTTCGGTACCCCAGTAAGGTCCTATTTACGGTCACTGTCCACCTCTCTTGGTCCTCCACCACCCTCCCCACCACTGCATCCCGCCCCTGCCCACACATCATGCTTGGGCCTCCGGACTCGAGATCCACGGCGCCCTGCAACTGCGAGGCGTTCGAGTGACCACCGACGCAACGACTGACCACCGACGTGTCTCGGAGTGTTGCTTCTCGGAAGATGCTAACTCTCGGACAAACTCAGACGGAACCCCCAAGTCAGCACAAGGCTCTGGTTTTGATGCTTGGCTCTGTGTATTTTGCTTGCCTGAAGAGGATCTGCAAACAAAAGTCCTCTTCAACAGCAGCGGGAGTGTTGCTTGCTCTTGAGTTCTCCACTCCTGCCTTTGTTGGCCGCGCTAGGCCAATGCAATGGTTTGGCACCGATTGTTGCAGCCTTGCCCGCTGCAACTTCAGAAAAGAGCACGTACACACGGTTCTCCCCATTTAGGTCTATGGGGGTAGTAAACCAACACCAATAAACCGGAGCCAAATTCATGCGACTCCATTTGGGGACACCAACATGAATTGTAATGTAATGTCAATCTGCCATAGGCCAAAACCCACAGGTTCCAGGCTTTGATCCATCTCAACGAATACCGTATAGTATGCATTTTTGCTGTGAAATGAATGCGGAAGCCTTCCGTCCGTCCCAAACAAAGGGCCGCCTCGGTCATCCGCCGCCGCGCGAAGGAGAAGATCTCCTGCTCAAGGACCTCCAGGCATTCCATTGTGGTTGAGAGATGTTGAGAGCGCAGTTTGCCAAAGCCAAGTAGTAACCGTGCTTCATGGGCTTTAGGGCGTAGAGTTGTGATTGGATGCGATTGGGGCAGTTGATATAAACATGCAACATTCTCTTGGCACAGCGGCCATGCTAACCCGCGTGTAGGGAATGGTCCCAATGCTTGCTTATATTATGCTGGGCTTCTGGTGAAGCTGTAAGTGATGCTTCTGGTGAATCATAACCCTCAACCAGCCAGGTGAAGGCACAGTCAGGTGCTGAAGATTGACCATGCTTCGCCATGCTTGGCATTGATGTGGTCCACAGAAGGACGCAAATCATGAAGGCATCAACACGAGCCATTGCTCACGACTGGGAATGGGCATCTCACCAGCTCAAGGTGCAAGAGTTGGCCACCGAAATGGGGGAAGGGTGAATGGCTGTGTTCCAAGCTGAAGGCCGACATTGCTTTCTAAATCTTCGGGCAATTTATACACTTTTTGAATAAATATAATAAATCATCTGGGATGTTCCATGCCCGCTGGTCTCTCTGCAACGGATCAAAACGAGTCTGCCATTGTTTTTGTTCATAATAGTCAAGCAAGTAGTGTGAAATGCAATGGAACAAACCACTGCATGTCAATTTCTTGCTCCTTAGCTTCCATGAAGGCATGCCACGCCCCCCACCCGGCGACCTCACAGAGGGTGCACCGCAAAAGGGACCGCGCCACACGCGGCGCTCGCCTGGAAGGTCATCTGCAAATCGTAGAGCGCCGCCATCTTTAAGACGCGTGCCTGACATCATCCGCATGACACCGCGGGTCTTTTCGCGGTCTGTCTTATGGTGGATTTCATGCGCTCCTTGGAATTCCAAAGGGAAGAAAACATGATTTGAAAACACATGTTCCACCTTTTTCTCGGCCCCCCACTGCAGCGACACCTGGGTTGTGGAGTGGGGAGCCCATCCAGGATGTCACGGAAGAAGCAAACTCGAGGTCACTCCCGAGCGAAAATGTCCGTCCGTTGGGTGAAAAGGGGGGGGAGGGCCTTGGTGGAAGCGCCCCATATGCAATGATATCCAAATTTACAGGGCCCTCTGATTGATTCCAAGTCTTTTAACTCTGTTGGAAAGACCTTCGCTCGTTAGGTTCACCCGCCGAAACAACTTGGATTTGCTTAAGGGTCCTGAACATATTTCCCAACAGGTGATTTACCCATAGGGAACAGAAACAAATCAGCGAAAACAACCAGTCGTAGAAACTCATAACATCTCAGAACCAAACCCCGCTGTCCCACAACAACTCTCCGCTTCAAAAACACCAAGCATGCCCAGGACCAGTGGAATGAACATGACAGTCATGAGGCTGACCATGAAATCCTCTATCAGCTTACCTGGCTGCTGCGACTTGTAGATAATCAGGGAGATGTTTCCCCTCGACTTTTGACTCTCGACTCCTTCCATGAATGACTAGGAGCGATCGGATGCTACGAACGGGGCGAAACTGGCCTGACTACTAGGAGCATTCTTGCTACGAACGCAACAAGGACGCTAAAAAATACCGTGGATGTTCGCCACCCTCATTCCATGCACCGAGGGAATCGGTCACACCACTCGACTGCCGATGGATTTTCGAAACGACCGCCTCGGCCCGGAACGAACAACCGCTTTGGTGCTGGGCCAACGAACACCACCTGCCTTGGGACAAACAGGGATCGCCAGTACTTGTCGCTGAAGCAACGGCGCCTCAGGTGTTCGGGAGGC